TGTAAACACTCTTCAATCATCTACTAAATCAGTTGAAAACTTTGACAAGGTTGTTCGTGAAACGACCGAGAAAGTAGAAAAACTACTAGCGAATGCGACTCAATTTATGGAGGAGTTTCGCACTTCGTTTGAGAACAACACTACTATTGCGAATAAAGTGATCACCAATCTTGGTTCTGTTCTTCAATAAGAGAAAGAAGCTCTCTCTAAAGTCTGTTTGGGTATGCAAATTAATATTATAGAAATGATCGCTTCTGCTGTTTCAAAGATCGAGAAACTTCAAGTTGATCTCGCTATTGAGAATTCACTCATGGATAAGCTCGCCATCAAGACTGAAAAAGTTAAAGTTATTTTCACACATATATCTCATGTGAACGCCCAAGTTGATGAGTTGAAATTCGAGAAGGATGTTATGAAAAGGTTTGTTGCAGATGTGAATCAAAACCTGCAGACTCTTGTCAAGACTCGAGACTCTTTGCTCACAGTTTCTGTCAAACAACATCTTGCTGAGAAACTTAAGCCAATGTTTTCTATGCTCAACCGTTTAGAAGGTGTTTTGGATTTTGTTTCACTTCCGAAACAAGGGGGAAGTCCAGAAACCAGCTGTTGGTGGTTCTAATGAAAATGAAACAATGAAGTCTCCATCTAAGTCAAAAGATCCGAAGGTTAATGTAGCTTCGGGATCTAAAGAAAAAAGAAAGTTAATTGGTGATGATGATGATGATGAGGAATAAGATCTATCCGAAGAGGCTCAACTTAAGAGAAAGAAACGTGACCAAGAGCTTGATGAAAATCTACGAGTGGCAAGAGAAGTTGAAGCTCAAGAGAGAGAGGTCCGTGAAGCCCAAGTCAATCTGGAAACTCAAAAGCTTCTATTTCCTTCTTGGTCTATGGAGCGTATTCTAAACGAAGTCGTTGATAATCCAAATGTTTACTGGCTTGAGCCTGTGGTATCGTTTGATTTGGAGAACTCTCTGGATTTGTAGCTTGATCTACCGATCACTCCGAAGGCTTTTCAGTTTCGTAGCTTTGATAAGATTGTGAATGCTCCTCTTCCGGACCATGATGTTGATGAGGTGTTTTTATCGTTCTATCTCAAGCACATGAAGCCTCAGTACCAAACTTGGAATTCAAAGAAAATAACTGTTGTAAAGGTTGTTGGGCCAATTGAAACCGAAAGCTTCCACAATGCTCATTTTAAAACTGCTTGAGGTGCTATTAGTTCGATGTTTGAATTTACATTCGCAGACCTACCATGCCTTAACCCTTATGACTACATATCTCTGTTACATCTCTTGCTAAAGGATGAACAGCAATATGAGCCTATTGTTACGTATCTCAAAAGGATGTTGGTCTCGTACATCCACAAAGTCAGCAAAATGGATGTAGAGATAGCGGTTGTACTCTGAAAGAAACCCATTTTCAAACCCAAAGAAGCTTTGTATGATGTTTCCAAGGTGAAGCTCGGAAGGATTCAAAAAGACAATTGGAGTATGGTTTTTCAACAGAGTGCTAGTGATGGTTCAAATGCTCAATGGTGTTTCTTCTCTCTTTCAGACAAGAATCTTTATTCCACTTCATGCTTGAACTACATTCTAGAATTAATCGGGCAATGTAAAGCGAACGATGTTGCAAGTAAGAAATGCTTCGTATATATGATCAAGTTGTATATTGCAATTCGCAGCACCCTACTCAGTCTCATGTCAAAGCTCTTCAAGGTCTAGAAGCGGCAACAAAACTGAAGAATCTGCCTTCCTTATTTGACACAAAGGGGGAGATTGTGGGGTTATTTATTAGATTGTATCAAATTTGTTATGTATGTAGTTAGCCTTTTTACAATTTGGGCCTGTCCATCCGTCTTTATGATACTAGGGTTAGACTTTAAATACTGCATGCATGTATTGTATTAGGAAAAATCGTTTTGTGATTCCCTATGGTGCCTTTACAGAGAAGCTCTTTATCGAGCTCTTCTAAGGCATTAATTATTAATCACTCGACATAACTTTAATCATTGTTTTATTGTTTTGATTCATATGCCAGTTTAGAATCTATCGATCTATTCTTTATTAGTCTAATAGCTCGTTTTCTTTGTATTGGATTTGGAAATTGCTAGGGGTTAATATCATTGTTCTTAATCTTATTTTGGTAATTATGGTTAGGGTTTAAACTGAGATTTATTTTAGTGAAATTGTATTAACTATTGAGTTTTGATAATGTAAGGTTAAGGTTATTAGCAAACATGGTTGTGGAAGGATCAAGTTTTCATTGAATTTGAACAATGGTGTTGTTTTTTACTAGATTTCGCTTGCAACCTTGACCCTCAGTTTAACTATGAGATTGTTTCTATTGTGTCTTGTAGATTCGGCAAAGCCATCCACCATAAACAGGTATCTGATACTTGTTAAACTATTTAAATTTTGTTCTATGTTATTCTTACATTAAAGGTTGACAAATCTAATTATTTGCTTCTATTTTTATTTGAAAAGACATGGCATAATTTGTGAGAAATTTTGTTAAGTTTGTTGACTGTGAATATGCTCCACCACTGGAAACATGTCTCTGATTGTGATTGGTAGAAACTTTGTTGAGGTGTGTATAATCATGTGTTGTCATGTTTTCTATGCTCCAGCCAATCGATCATTCAACCTGAGTTGATTACATATTATTTTTCAAGCATGCATTGTATATGATTTCATCCTAATATGTTCCTTGTAAGTTCTTGTTTTTTATGTGTATTTAGTGTATCTTTTCAAGTAATTTTGTGTCAAATATTCTTGAATTCTCAATGCATCTAATCGAGGGTATATTTTATATCATTATTGGATCAAATTATTTTAAAGTTAAAAATACATTGTTATTAATTATTGCTATTTTTGTCAAGTAGAAAGTACTTTGTTATTAATCGTTGTTAGATTTTTCTTCAAGTGGAAAGTACGTTGTTGTTAATTGTTGGTTGTTTTTTTCCTAGTTAAAAATATATTGCTATTATTTATTTTATATAGTTTTTTTTCAAGTTGAAAGTATGTTGTTATTGACTGAATGATACAACGTGGTATTTAGTTAGGTGTAAACATGGTTATTGTGCTTTTAATTGTTTATAGGTTTTTTTTTCAATCTGTATGTGTTGCTATTAAGTGAATGGTATGGTTTGATGTTTAATTAGGTGTAAACTTGGTATTGTCTCTTTGTAGGTTATTGTTGATCGTGATCATGATGAATTGAATGAAGAGCTTAAGGAAAAATGTGAAGAATTTGAGACAAAAAACAAGAAATCGCCAAGATTACTCATCTAACTGGACTTTGACACTTTTGCTTTTGTAACTTAGTTTCAACTTTTAGTATTTTGAAATTGAACATTAGTTTTTATTTTATTAATCCAATATTAATATTTATTATGGTAATTGAATTTACTAATCCAATATTAATATTTATTATGGTAGTTGAATGCTAAAGTTTTGATTTTGGGGTATAAAGTTTAACATATATTTGTGAATTCTTGTTTGGAATAACGACAGATTTGACATTTACTAGACCGTTGTTAAAACAGAAAAATTATTCATTTACTAATCATCAGAGTGACGGATTAGCGTCGGGTATCAACGACAGATTAACGACGAAATCTGAAGGTTTCGTGAGTAATTTGTGGCATCGCTAATCCGTCACTAATTCGTCGCTAAATCCATCGCTGACAATTAGCGACAAGGGTTTTTTCGACCAACAAATATGTCGCTAATTTGTTGCTGATAGCCTTAGCGACAGATTAGCGACGGAATTGTCCGTCGCTGATACCTCAGTTTGTAGTAGTGGCGGAGATGCATGTTCATAGAATCGTTTCCCGAGCTTATTAATTTATAATAGGAGTAAATTGCAAATTAAATAGGATAGGTAGGTTGTCATCAAAACTCATTTCTGGTTATCTTTTCTTGTTACATGTATTTTGTAATTGCTTATTTTTCAATCGTTGGATACTTATATTTTGGCAGCATTTCGAATAACTCCTGAACCTGGAGTTCTGCCTGAAGAAGCAGGGGCTGCAGTTGCCGATAAACTTTGCCATTAAAAAAAAAGACATTTTACTTGGTAATAACATCGATGGTATCTATGTGTTTAAGCCTAACAATGCATTATTTGTGGCCTTCAAAAAGAAGATTCTAATTCTAAACATGTGTTATTACAGACTCAAATTATTTGAAGAAGACAATATGTAATTCTAGAGGAGATTATTGACAGGGGCTGATGCACCTTAATTATGCCGGGGGTGCACTTGACCCCACTTGAGGTGGCTGCCATCCTCTATTGAAAATCATAATTTTTAAAAAATATAAATAACTATACTTGATCCCACTTGAGGAATTGAGGTGGCTCTCAACCTTTTTTGTCTAATAAAAGTTACCGTTTCTACAAAATATAAAGAGTTTATAGCTGTTTATTATTTGAATAAACTCGTTAGTGTAATTTGATAATTTGTATTGGATTATATGGTTTCGATAGATCTGAGTGTGTAATAACATTTTTTTACCTATAGGATTATATAAACATATAATGATATAACGTCAATGCAGGCCTGATTCAAATCGAAATGAGACCCCGGACAAAATTAAAATATGAAGCTCTTAAAAGTAAATTTTTAAGTAAAGAAAAAAAAGCAATGACTTAATTCCAAAAGGTTATTTTCTATAATACTATAAGTAGATATAGCTTAATTTTTCTCTTATAATATATATCTTTTTTTTTACAAGAGTCTACCAAAAATTTTGTAAAAAACTACAATCTCATTTAATAATAATAAATATCTATTGCTTAAGAATTACTATGTAACTTTTTTCCCTCTAGTTTCTTACTTATGAATTGTTTAAAAAAAATCTATTGCGTAAGACATCATAAGGTCTTAGTGAAAGCATTTGACCAATCATATAAAATGTGCTGAAAACATCTTATCGTCTTCCTATATATAAATAGGGTTGAATCTTCTTTATGAAAACATCAAATTTTTTAATATACAAATATTCATATTTATCATAGAACATGTCTTTAAAACAAGAGGAAGTTATTCGTCCAATTGCCAACTTTCCTCCTGCCATTTGGGGAGATCAGTTTCTCACTACTGACGAGGTATTTATATTACTACAAATCATATAATAAAATTTATTTCTATGTCTTTGCATGCTTAATTACAGAAACTTTGATTATGATTTATGAGTGAATGTAGCAAGTAGAGCAACCCGAGATAGAAGAAATGGTCATTAATTTGAAGGAACAAGTGCGGAAAGATTTAGCCTCAGCGCTTGATGTTCCTACACAGCATACAAACTTGTTGAGGTTGATTGATGCAATCCAACGCCTCGGCATAGGCTATTATTTTGAAGAGGAGATTGAGAAGCCCCTTCAGCATATTTATGATACATATGGTGATGAATGGAATGGTGATAGCTCTTCCCTTTGGTTTCGACTCATGCGTCAACATGGCTTTAATGTTACATGTGGTGAGTACATATCCTCCCTAATCATTTTCTTCTAATCCTACGAACGTTAATGATTTCTTTTATATGAATTGACACAGCTTTTTGCAATAACTACAAAGACGAAAATGGAGATTTTAAGGAATCCTTAGCCAATGATGTTCAATGCATGCTTGACTTGTATGAGGCAACGTACTTAAGGGTGCAAGGTGAAGTTGTACTAGACGATGCTTTTGTTTTTACAAGATCTCGTCTTGGTGACATATCAAAGAATACTCTCTACAGCAGCCCTAATTTATATGCCCAGATACAGGAGGCAATAAAGCAACCCATACGAAAAAGGATGCCAAGACTAGAAGCCTTACACTATATTCCTTTCTATGAACAACAAGATTCGCATAACGAGTCTTTACTTAAACTTGCCAAGTTAGGGTTCAACTTGCTTCAATCGCTGCACAAAAAGGAGCTTAGCCATGTTTCCAAGTATATACATTTATCCCCTAACCTACCCTCCCTCTTTAGTTTCATTCTCAATATATCAAAATTAACCAAAATCTTTAATGTTCTTTCCTTTAATTTTTTGTGTTCTTTATTGCATATTTGGATTGTGTTCACAGACTTATATATGTGTATTTATTTTTCATAGGTGGTGGAAAGGTCTTGATGTCCCAAACAATCTGCCTTATGCAAGAGACAGAGTTGTTGAATGCTACTTTTGGGCAGTTTGTGTATGCCATGAGCCACAATATTCTAATGCTAGAGTTTTCTTAGCAAAAGTGATATGCATGCAAACTTTACTTGATGACACGTATGATGCTTATGGGATTTACGAAGAGCTTGAGATCTTCACCGAAGCAATTCAAAGGTATGCACACGTAGACTAATGGACAGATCCATCAAACAAAATCTTTTAAGCAATCAACTTGTAATTAAATCAATTACAGGTGGTCGATTTCATGCTTAGATGTGCTCCCAGAATACATGAAACTGATATACCAAGTAATAATGGATATGTATAAAGAAATGGAAGAACTCATTGGAAAGGAGGGAAAAGCACATTACATTAACTATGCCAAAGAGTTTGTCAGTTCCAACACCTTTCATTTGTCATATATTTTCATAATTAAGATACTCCATAAGCATGTAACTAAACACAATGTCATGTACAGATGAAAGCATCTGTTAGCGCTTACATGACAGAGGCGAAATGGCTAAATGAGGGGTACATCCCAACTAAGGAAGAGCACATGTCAATTTCAACCATGAATAGCGGTTGTAGCCAGGATGTTATAACATGTATTATCGGCATGGGTGATATTGCGACACACAAGTCAATCGAATGGGCAATCAATAGACCTCTTCTTTTAAAATCTATATCTGTAATTGGTAGACTCATGAATGATATTGCTGGCCACAAGGTAAAATATTTGTTATAAAGCTTTATTATTTTTTGTTGCTTCATAACGTGATTAATAATGGTCCTTTTTAGTATGAAACTAATAGTTGGTTTTTGTATGATTTTTAGCTAGTTTTGAAAGACTAATAGATTTTGTTACTACATATGCAGAAAGAGCAAGAAAGAAATCATGTAGCATCTAGTCTTGAAGTTTACATGAAGCATGATGATGTTACGGTAGAGTATGTCCATGAATTATTAAGCAAGCAAATCGAAGATGCATGGAAAGATATAACCAAAGAATGCCTCGTGTGTAAAGATGTTCCGTTGCCTCTAAGAACGCTTTTCATAAACTACGCAAGGACAATGAATCTTCTCTACGACAGTAATATTGATGGTTTCACACATGTAGGAGAAGAACTGAGTAATCATATCAAGTCGTTGTTTGTTCGTGCTTTGAGTATATGACTTTCAGTTCTTTATGCCAGGTAGTGTTTGAAACCCTCAAAAACTATAGTCCGTCTTCTTCAAAATGGATGATTATGGAAGTCCGGATATTGAATAAGATCTCCATTGGTGTTTGATAGTCTCAAATGATTGAATACCGCCTTTTAATAACCAAAGTAGATGTATTAATTACGGTACATGTTTCTATTGGATTTCACTTTGTTATTTGTATTCCAAAGTTTCACTAATAAAAATTATTTCATGTTTAACATAATTGCTTTCTTACTTTATAAAGTTACAAGGCGAATCATCGTGCGCACAAATATAACTATCTAATTAAAATAATAATTTTTAACAAATTGTAATTTAATATTTATAAATGAAAACCAATTAGTAGCAAAAAAAATTTATAGTTAACCTATCATTAGTTATTTATACTATTAACCGATGATTTTATAAATTGTTTTATGTTGTGTAAATTGTATGTCAAATGTATCTTGATTTCTATATATAACAAATGCAAAGTAGTATGAAAAAGATAAATAATACAATTTTTGATAATTTTATAGACCACTTTAAATTGTATAAATTATATATAAAATATAAGTTGATTTGTATATAAAACAAATATAACAAATAGTATTAAAAAATACTATAACTTTTAATAACATAAAAACACTATAACATCTACCACTACTACACAATAGACCTTCAATTCCCACGAAAATTACCCACACACAAAATCCGTAGGTAAAAATCCTAATTTACAAAGTATTTCTCACGGATTACACACAAATTACCCACAGAAAGAAATCTATGGAAAATATGTGGGAACAATATCACTATCACCCACGGCTTATCTATAGATTTCGAAAAATGGGGAAACACTACTTCTGCTCTGTGGGTAAAGCGTGGGTGATTTTCCACATATTAACCATAAAAAAACACTTTTTTTTTATTTTGCATCCGTTAAACGTTGTTTTTCAGTTCCATATTTCTATCGATTTACTTCAATGCATTTCTTTGTTTCATCAACTTAATAGACTCATCTACATACATATGTATGTGAATAATAAGTTGAAAAAACAAATGACACATTGATTTATAAAGTATGTATGCATATATGTGTATAATAAGTTGATAAAACAAAGAAATACATTGATTTATTAAACATTATAAAGGATAAAACAAAGACAACAACGTTAAATGGTCAAAATGGAAAAAAAAATTATTGTTGTGGGAAATATGTGGGTAATTATCCACAGATTACCCACATACTAGAATCATTTTTTCATTTTCCAACTGTCAAACATCGTTTTTTTTCATTCCATGCTTAACATAACTTAATAAATCAATGTATTTCTTTGTTTTATCAGTTTATTAGATACATATACATAAACATGCATGTATGAGTTTACAAAGTTGATGAAATAAAGGAATATATTGAATTATTAAGTATGTATGCGTATATAAAAGTATTTATTTATTTTTAGGTGTATATTGTGAAATAAGTTCGACAAACAAGTCAATACATCAATTGATTAAGTCTTATAAAAGATTAGACAAATAGAACAACATTTAATGGTAAAAAAATGAAAAAATGAATCTAGTATGTGGGTACTCCATGGGTGATTTTCCACGGATTACCCACAGAACAAAATCATTTATTCATTTTCGATCCTTTAATGTTGTTTTTTCGTTTCATATTTCTATCAAACATCGTTTTTTTCATTCCATGCTTAACATAACTTAATAAATCAATGTATTTCTTTGTTTTATCAGTTTATTAGATACATATACATAAACATGCATGTATGAGTTTACTAAGTTGATGAAATAAAGGAATATATTGAATTATTAAGTATGTATGCGTATATAAATGCATTTATTTATTTTTAGGTGTATATTGTGAAATAAGTTCGACAAACAAGTCAATACATCAATTGATTAAGTTTTATAAAAGATTAGACAAATAGAACAACATTTAATGGTAAAAAAATGAAAAAATGAATCTAGTATCTGGGTAATCCATGGGTGATTTTCCACGGATTACCCACAGAACAAAATCATTTATTCATTTTCGATCCTTTAATGTTGTTTTTTCGTTTCATATTTCTATCAATTTACTAAATCAATGCATTTTTTTGATCCATCAACCTATTATGCACATGCACGTATATATGTATGTGAATAATAAGTTGATAAAGCAAACGATACACTTATATATTAAGTATGTATAAATGTATGTTGATAATATGGTGATAAAACAAAAAAATACACCGATTTCTTATACATTATAAATGATAAAACAATGACAACAACGTAAAATGGTCAAAAATGAAAAAACTCTTCCTTGTTGTGGGAAATCTGTGGGTGATTATCCACAGATTACCCACATACCATAATCGTTTTTTCATTTTTCGATCTTCAAACGTTGTTTTTTTGTTCTATGCTTAACATAACTTAATACTTATTTTATTTCTCTGTTTTATCAATTTATTATATATATATATATATAGGATATAGATCCGGTAAGAAATTTTTTTTGGTAGGAAGGTAAGAAGTTTTTTTTCTACATATTTTTTTGACGAATAAAATAAATGAATCAGTAGATGATTCATTTGTAAGATGATTCACAAGAAAAAATTCCGAAAAAAACATATTTATGATTCATTTTTAAGTAAATTAAGAAAAAAATTCACTTTTATGACAATTTTAGTGAATAACAACAAAATCATTGTATAAATGAATCATCGAGATGTTTTTTGAGATTTTTTTCTTGTGAATCATCTTACAAATGAATCATCTAATGATTCATTTTGTTTGTTCGCGAAAAAAATATGTAGAAAAAAACTTTCTTACATTCCTACCAAAAATTTCTTTCTTATTTGATCTTGATTCTATATATATATATATATATATATATATATATTTATGTATGTATGAGTTTACTAAGTTGATGAGTTAAAGGAGTATACTAAATTATTAGGTATGTATGCATGTATAAAAGTATTTATGTATGTTTAAGTGTATTTTGTAAAATAAGTTGAACAAACAACTCAATACATCCATTGATTAAGTTTTATAAAAGATAGGACGAATAGAACAACATTTAATTGTCAAAAAATGAAAAAACGAATCTGGTCTGTGGGTGACTTTTCACAGATTACCCACAGAAAAAAATAATCATTTTTTCATTGTCGGTCCTTCAACGTTGTTTTTTCGTTCTATATGATATATCAATTTACTAAATCAATGCATTTCTTTGCTACATCAACTTATTATACCCATACACATACATGTGTATGTGAATAATAAGTTGATAAAACAAAAGATACATTTATATATTAATATGTATGCATGTATGTGGATAATATGGTGATAAAACAAATAAAAAAATACATCGATTTATTATACATTATATAGGATAAAACAAGACAACAATGTTAAATGGTCAAAAAAGGGAACTTTGTGGGTGATCATCCACGTATTACCAACATACCATAATCGTTTTTTCATTTTTTTGACCCTTAAACCTTGGTTTATTTTTCGTTCCATGCTTAACATAACTTAATAAATCATTGAATTTCTTTGTTTTATCAATTTATTAGATACATATACCTACACATGCATCTATGAGTTTACTAATTTGATGAATTAAAAGAGTGTACTTAATTATTAAATATGTATGCATGTATAAAGTATTTATGTATGTTAAAGTGTATTTGTGAAATAATTTGAACAAACAAGTCAATACATGTATAAAGTATTTATGTATGTTAAAGTGTATTTGTGAAATAATTTGAAATAATATGTGGGAACAATATCACTATCACCCACGGCTTATCTATAGATTTCGAAAAATGGGGAAACACTACTTCTGCTCTGTGGGTAAAGCGTGGGTGATTTTCCACATATTAACCATAAAAAAACACTTTTTTTTTATTTTGCATCCGTTAAACGTTGTTTTTCAGTTCCATATTTCTATCGATTTACTTCAATGCATTTCTTTGTTTCATCAACTTAATAGACTCATCTACATACATATGTATGTGAATAATAAGTTGAAAAAACAAATGACACATTGATTTATAAAGTATGTATGCATATATGTGTATAATAAGTTGATAAAACAAAGAAATACATTGATTTATAAAGTATGTATGCATATATGTGTATAATAAGTTGATAAAACAAAGAAATACATTGATTTATTAAACATTATAAAGGATAAAACAAAGACAACAACGTTAAATGGTCAAAATGGAAAAAAAAATTATTGTTGTGGGAAATATGTGGGTAATTATCCACAGATTACCCACATACTAGAATCATTTTTTCATTTTCCAACCGTCAAACATCGTTTTTTTTTTCATTCCATGCTTAACATAACTTAATAAATCAATGTATTTCTTTGTTTTATCAGTTTATTAGATACATATACATAAACATGCATGTATGAGTTTACTAAGTTGATGAAATAAAGGAATATATTGAATTATTAAGTATGTATGCGTATATAAAAGTATTTATTTATTTTTAGGTGTATATTGTGAAATAAGTTCGACAAACAAGTCAATACATCAATTGATTAAGTTTTATAAAAGATTAGACAAATAGAACAACATTTAATGGTAAAAAAATGAAAAAATGAATCTAGTATGTGGGTAATCCATGGGTGATTTTCCACGGATTACCCACAGAACAAAATCATTTATTCATTTTCGATCCTTTAATGTTGTTTTTTCGTTTCATATTTCTATCAATTTACTAAATCAATGCATTTTTTTTATCCATCAACCTATTATGCACATGCACGTATATATGTATGTGAATAATAAGTTGATAAAGCAAATGATACACTTATATATTAAGTATGTATAAATGTATGTTGATAATATGGTGATAAAACAAAAAAATACATCGATTTATTATACATTATAAATGATAAAACAATGACAACAACGTAAAATGGTCAAAAATGAAAAAACTCTTCCTTGTTGTGGGAAATATGTGGGTGATTATCCACAGATTACCCACATACCATAATCATTTTTTCATTTTTCGACCTTCAAACGTTGTTTTTTTGTTCCATGCTTAACATAACTTAATAATTATTTTATTTCTTTGTTTTATCAATTTATTATTATTATTATTATTATTATTATTATATATATATATATATATATATATATATATATATATATATATATATATATATATATATATATATATATATATGAGTTTACTAAGTTGATGAGTTAAAGGAGTATACTAAATTATTAGGTATGTATGCATGTATAAAAGTATTTATGTATGTTTAAGTGTATTTTGTAAAATAAGTTGAACAAACAACTCAATACATCCATTGATTAAGTTTTATAAAAGATAGGACGAATAGAACAACATTTAATTGTCAAAAAATGAAAAAACGAATCTGGTCTGTGGGTGACTTTTCACAGATTACCCACAGAAAAAAAAATCATAAAACTTGATGTTGTGCTCTTTTAGCATTAACAATGAGAAATACTTATTTTTTTATATAAAAATAAAATTTGCCCACCCAATTATTCAACAACAAAACCAAAGGGAATAGCATATGGACAGAAAAACAACAGCCAAAGATAACTACATAATCAATTTTAATCTCATTTAACAATTAACACCATTGTAGATATGGGTAAGTAACCTATATCACATGCATCAATCTCTAATCAGGATCTCTTCTTGGCTCTTTTCTAACGAAGAAAACAAAAAACATGCATCACTCCTTCTCAAGGTTGCTTGACAGATAATCTATAAATCAATCCAAAGAGATATTATAAACATTACAAAAATATCCATCCACAGATAAATTTATCTGGAATTAATAAAATTTCAATCTCACTATTATGTTATAAACAAAATGTATTTAGTGTCAACAAAAAACATACCTACAATGGTATTTCACAGGCATCCATTGTATAAACCTGGTGAATGAGGTTTAAACATTAAAAGTATCTACTACAATCAAATGGAGCATTATAATGGAAAGAAGATAACAGGCGTTATGCAAGCAATAGACAATAAAAGATGGCATTAGAGAACCATGACAAATCTACATGAAACCTTAAATCTAACAAACACAATATCAATAAACAATATAAGTGATTAAGGAGAATGAAGAAATTTTGTGAACCACCTTATACATATAATACTTTTAAGTGAAAACGTTTCCATGCATCCTTTCTTTATATAATCTCATTACCGTTCCATGGTTTTCCCATAAAATAACAATTGTCTAACCTTAATATGTTTGTGTTTTGTTGCTTGTGTAAATTTTCATTTGTTAGTATGTACCGATACACAATATTTAAAAAAAAATACCAATACAGATCTACAAGCCATGTGGTTTGATGACTGATTCAAGTTCTTCAACTATGACAGTTCCCACTTTAACCTGCATAAAGAACATAAAGAACATAGGAAATAGACTTAAATTTATGAAGACTTATAGAAATTCCATTAAACTTTTGTCTAGTAATTATGTCGAGAGGCTTACCACCATGCATATGTTATTAGTCTCTTTACCATTCACTTTAAATGTATTGTAATAAGAAGGTTCACGAACTTGCCCAAAAATGATGTCAAGGAAGAAAAAACTATACAAAATAATAGGAATAGAGAATCAAATGGAAATAAACATATACATAAACAAAATCGTTTTCTACAATTCACAAAAGGAGTTGAATCACCTGGAAAAAGAACAATACAAATAGCATTCAAAGATTTGATCTTATTTCTAGATGTTTCCAAAACTGCCCTGCAAATTAGAAAATTAAACTTACAGGCAAATTCAAACACAATTTTACTGATATAGCCACATATAAACACAAAACTCATTTGTGGTAGATATCAAAGTACTATACAGCAAGGGGATTTAGGGGATTCCCCTACTCCGTTTCGGTTTATTAGCCTTTAGGTAGATGCTGCCACCAGAACCACCGCAGCCTTTGGTACCTCCAATACCTAATTTTACTGAAAATTGCAGAATCAACTTCAAGATTTCTAAATCAAAGGAATTTTAATACGATTTTTAAAAAAATCGAAACTTTGGGGGATTACATGTTGTGAAGCTTAAAAATGAAACAACATGAATGAAATAATCACACGTCCTCATTAAAAAAACGTCCACCACTTCACATACCAATTGAATTAAAACCATGAGATGTAAAAACTCACCTTTAAGTCAAGTCTGGTAACATTTCTACCTCAATAGTGATTCAAAACACTATCTTAAGCCTCTCAGTCATCCATATACTTTATCGAGGAAGAAAGTGAGACTCGATGAACTTTCAATGTTGTGAGTGGTAAAAAAGGTTGCTGACGGCATCGAGAACAAGTGGTGATAGAGGGGATCCAAAGAAAAATAACCCTACTTTCGTTCAATCCAAATCATAAAATCTAGTAGGTTCTACAAAATTGCAAGTTTCTATTTAAACCAATTTTGCCAAGTTTTCCTTCAAGATATCCAAATCTAAAAACTCAATTATCACCCAGTTTAATCAATCGGTCAAACAAAATTCCAGGTTTACGGAACAACAAAATCATTAAATCATGAAATCCGAATTGCACATTCTCACTAAAAGAAGCGAAGTGAGAGAGAAAGAAAATCAACCGATGTTGTTGTGGTTGGCAAATTAGTTAGTGACTTATAAGCTACCATTAATGATGCATATGATTATATAATATAACGATTGACAACAGGAGAAGTGAACGGGTGCACCCCCAACCAACCTTAACTTAAAATCAACTAAGTATATCAACAATTAGACATATCATTTTATAAACGACCAGATGATTAGTGAAAAAAATCAAGATTCAATAAAGGTGAAGTAATTATCGATTTACTTGATTGGAGTTTGGAGTGTGTGACATTGGCGTTGATGGGAACGACGGGATAGGGTTAGGGTTTCTCATCTTGACAGAAGGTAGAAGCGACAGAGGGAGCGGTGAACGACGGTGGCGGAAATGGTGGACTTCCAGGGGGTCGATCATCTAGTTGAGAGGGAGGAACAAGGTGGACGGTGACATACTTTTGGGTTGCAGCAACGATGTCATGAGGGTGGTCGTAACGGAGGCCTGCTGAAGATTCAACAGAGCAAGTAGAGAGAGAAGAGATTTGGGAGAAACGATGGTATATAGGTGACATTAGGGTTTACCACGTTTAGACGTAGGGGAGTTTCCGTTTTTATTATGCTTAATAGATTTTTACATAATGTTATAATAGATGTACCTCTTAAATTTCAAGAAATGTGCAATATGTTTAATAATATAGTAAATATATATATATATATATATATATATATATATATATATATATATATATATATATGTCGTGTATTAGGTAAAAAGAGTAAACCACATTGCTATTAAGGATAATATATATATATATATATATATATATATATATATATATATATATATATATATATATATATTGCTATTATGGTTAGAAAATGTAAGTATGGTGCTATTTGGATGATATGTTTTGGTTAGTTAAATTTTTAAATATGTATGTTTAGGTTTTATTAAGTTATTAAAGTGGTACATTTTTCTTTGTTATTATATTGTTCATATATATGTTTTGGTTGTTTAAATTGTTATAGTGGTATGTTTAGGATTTGTAAAATTGTTAAAGTGTTTGAAATTAATATGGTTAGCTTTGTTAAATTAACTTAGGTGATGTGTTATGAGAGAATTATGTCGCTAGATATAAGTAGGCTGCTATTATTGATAAAAAATGTAAATTTATTGTTATTATGGATAATAAATGTAAATATGTTTCCTATATTTGGTAAAAATAGTAAACTATGTTGCTATTATGGATAATAAAAAAAAGTATGTTGTTATTATGGATAAAAATGTGCGGATAATTTTTTTCCCTTTATAATATTGTTTGATTTAACTTTTTTTTTGGTAAAACGAGTACATACATTAGCTAATATTCTTTGCTTTACCATTTTTTTTAGATACGAGACTTGCGAACCAGACTCGAAGCCGGTCATCAACAAGATTTGGAACAATTTCGAAAAGAACATGAGGAATCCAAAGAACATCAAGAAACTATGGAAACGTATGGAAGAACTTTGGAGTAAATTCATGCCAAACAATTAGTATTATGTTTGTAGGTCTTGGTATTTTAAACTTCCAATAGATTAATTTTATGGATTTGATAATTGAAACTTTTGTGGATTTGATATTTGAAATTTTCTAGATTAAATTTATGGATTTGGTTGGGTACTTTGTTAGTCATATTATATTTTTTTTCAAATTAGATACAAAAATTTGGATTTTATGTAACCTGTAAATATATAAATTTTTTTTAAATCAATTATATTACCCACAAACTATCCTCTGAATCACCCAAAAAGAATATTTGTGGAAAATCCGTGAGTAATACTTTGTGGATAAAATATGTGAAAAATCTGTGGGTAAAATCCGTAGAAAATCTGTGGGTAACTGAGTTATGGAAAAGATGTGGGAAAACTTTTTGTGGATACTACATGGGTAATCTAGTCGTGAATAAGTTGTGGGCAGCTTTGCCAGTGGATAAACCGTGAGTAATTTTGTGGGCAAACTGCATGTGGTAAATATGTGGGTTAATATGTTCGTGGATAATCTGTGGATAACTCTGAGGGTAATCTGTGGTAAATTGTCTGTGATAAATCTGTGGGTTAATATGTTCGTGGATAATCTGTGGATAACTTTGAGGGTAATCTGAGGGAAAACATTACCCACGAGCTTTTACCCACAAATCTGGTTTTGTGGAAAACCGTGGGTAAAGACCATTACCCATTAATTACCTACAGATAGGGTCGTGGGTGAAAGTCTGTTTTGTTGTATCTATCACAATGGAAAAACATAATCTTTAGAGACGACAAAAGTCGTCGCATTTGATGCATCAAGTCATCGCTAGCGAAGACATATCGTCACTATTACCTCGTAGTTAATACTCATTTGTTGTCGCAATTGATGTCGTCTCTAATATCCAGGGTCGCTAAATGTCGATGTGGTCACTATTGGCATCGTCACTATTGATATTCCGACAAGGATTCCCGGAGGCAGCAGTAGTCGCAATCGGCAATGTCGTCTCTAAAGGTGTCGTTGCTAATGGTTTTTTGTAAAATTTATTTATGATATTAGTTTATATATTATAAAATACAGATTTGATAAAAATACATAAATCCATATAGCAGATTTGATAAAAATACAAAAATCCATACATACCACATTATATAAAACATCAAATATATACCACATTACATAAATTATCTAATAAATCCAAAATAAACATCAAATATATCATTCATAACAAAAAAAACAAGAAATATTATGCGTCTTCATTTTCCATGTCGTTGGTTTTTTCGTTGTTAACTTGGTTCTTAAACTTGCGGATAATATCTCAAATTGTCGTCACAAACATCGGGTTTTGAATAAAAGCATTCATATGCACATCCTACAATTAAGTCACAAACACATTAAATCATTAACTATTTAATTTGCCATCACTGATTTTCTTTAAACATATAAAGAAGTTGTTTGATGTGTTTTTTTTATCATATTGGTACTTGATATAATAATTAAAAGCCTCTCATTTGAGATAGACATAAACCATGTTGACTTAATTAGAATTTTAGTCAAATTAGAACCTAAAATATAAAGATGTCATGTTCCATTTAAGTGTTTTAGGCGTATACTTTACCTTTGTACACAAAGTGATTTAACTTTAATTAAACGTTACAAAAATAGATTTGATTAATTATAAATTGGATATTGTTTTTTTTTTTTTTGTAAATGTAGATATTGAAGTGACAACGTTAATGGATGTGATGGATTAAATAACGACTTGGATTGTGATATGCTATATAAGGTTGTCCTCGAAGTCTGCTGCGTCGGGAAACAACTCCAAGTAGTGCTCCCTTATTTTCTCCTCGGGCTCCCAAGTCCACTCTAAGCCCTTGTGGTGCTATCATTGCACCTTTACTAGCTCAACCCTCTTGTTCCTCAACTACTTCGTCTTCTTGTCGAGAATAGCTACCAGTCTTCCGATGTAATTCAGGTTGTCATCCACCTCAAGAGGATAGACAGGTGGTACCTCTAGAGGATATTCAGGTAGATGACAACATGAACTACATCGAGCAGCCGGTAGCCATCCTCGATAGGAAGACAAAGGATCTGAGGAACAATAAGGCCAAGGTAGTGAAGCTGCAATTGCAGCACCGCAAGGGCTCAGAATGGACTTGGGAGCCAGAGGAAGAGATGAGGGAGCACTACATGTGACATCTCCATTTTCACGGCCAGAAAAGACCGATTTTGTTTATGCTTTATAAAAATCAGAGTTCTTTTTTTAATAAAAATGTTGCGGAATTTGTTCCCAGAAAAACACGATAAATACGTTATTAAAACATTTTCGAAGAAACGTATTTTATTCATTTCAAAACATTTGGGATGTCATCGTTAATACAGAAACATAAGCATAAACAGAACTTACATTTATTTACACTAGTGATCTACATCTCTTTAAATCTCTCAGTGTAATGTGACTTCATATCAACACCTGTGATGTAAATAAACTGAGTGGGTCAGGTTGGGAAACCTGGTGAGTACATAGGGATTTCAATCCCACAATGTTATACCATATATATAGTTTAAAACTCACAAAATATACAATTTCACCATATATATAAACAACTCTTATCCCACCCCGTCGATCCTCACAACGAGGCTATCCATACTCTCGAACCTAAGATTAGTCGTTTTACCTACTCCATACTCCCGGATCAGAAATGAACGAATTTACCAAATCCATACTCTCGTACTAGGGACGAATGACTAATCCATACTCTCGGATTAATGATGAATGATTATGCCTAATTCATACTCTCAGACTAGGGACAATAACTAACCCATACTCTCGGATTAATAATGAATGATTATGCCTAATCCATACTCTCGGACTAGGGACAATGACTATGTCTAATCCATACTCCCGGATAAATGACATATACTAAATTCTATTCTCTGAGTATAACTCACTTGTACTCGTAAGAATATACTACCCAATATTCCTCATATTTAATTTAGGTCTACTCTTTATCATAAATTATCAAATATAATCAGGTATGTTCTTTAACACGTATTTCAGGCAACATCAATTAACTTGCACATAAACATATAATTAATACTTCAATCAATACTTGTATTAAAATCATGTTCATGGAAGAGACTATGCACTCACTTGATAGGTGGTGACTCAGCACTCGGACAGCGCTTCGATACTCTCAAAACAACTTTCCTTCGATAAAACCTAGTACCAATACCACTAGGGTTTAGTCTAACGATAACCGCGACAAATTAATAGTCTGACTATTATTATTATTATTATTATTATTATTATTATTATTATTATTATTATATAAGCGTTAAATAACACTCAATATAACTCATAATAATAACCCAAATAATTATTTTAAGGACCTAATAACATTCCTATAATTATTTGAAAGCTATATTAAAACCTACGTAAGCGTAGCACACTTGTAGTGAATTTTATCGAAAACCGGAACTTAATTGGAGCAGCGTTTCGAAACCGAAAGGTTCTTTTTCTCGGGACTCCGGAAGCCTCGGAGCTTCCCTCGGGGGCTAAGGGGTTTAACTAGGGCTTTGGGGGGGGGGGGGGGTTAAACTCTAGAGAGAGAAATTAGTGAGAGAAAGAAGAGATTTTGGAGTGAAGAATTATGGCAGCCTCGGCCTTCTATTTATAGCCAGAGCTTCGGACCTTACGCTAGGCGTACTTCTCGGATAAGACCACCAGCTCGGACCCAGCTGTCTTGCACCCATCGGATGGATCAGATCAGACCTACGTGGGGCGTAACCTCTTTGGACGCGGGGCATACTGCAAAGCAACGTGTCATAAATCCGAAGCGAAGCGTGATCAGCAAGCGACGGCCCTGATTGAGCCACGTCATCACCCTCGCAATAGATTTCGCAAATTCACTTTCCGACTTCTAAAAATCATAACTTTCGCATACGAGCTCCGTTTTCGATGTTCTTTATATCCACGCGAAGGTGGGAACGTACTCTACAACTTTTATTTAGACTCTGTCGGCTAATTTTGAATCAATTTTAAATTTTATATTATTAACAGGC